AGACCGATGCTTCAGGTGATGGCCTTGGAGCAGTGTTGGTGCAGAAAGAAGATGGCAAAGAAAGGGTGATTGCTTATGCTAGTCGGACCCTTGCTGCGGCAGAGTTGAAGTATCCAGCCCACAAGCTGGAATTTCGGGCACTTCATTGGGCAGTGACGGCGAAATTCTGAGAGTATTTGTATGTGCAGAAGGTAACAGCCATCAAGGATAACAATCCGTTGATCTACGTCATGAAAAAGGCCAAGCTTGACGCTCATAGCCAGCGGTGGGTCAGCGACCTCTCTGTGTTCGACCTGGATATTGTGTATTGGCCAGGGAGAGCTAACGCCACGCTGATGCTCTGTCGAGAATTCCTAGGGAGACGGTTAACCAGATCCTTGATGAGACGTATCAGAGAATGTCGGTCCCTAGAGAAGCTTCAGGTGACTCTGTAATGAGTGCCAATCTCACTGGAGATACCAAAGTGACGGGTTCCACCCATCCTGTTTCACAGCAAGCTCCGCGAGATTAGTCTGGCATCGATGGTGTGATAGAGATCCATCAGATTGTCCAAAATGACGGATGTGACACAACTTCGACACCCGGCTCTGATCATCAGCCCCTGGTCGCTACCAGTAATGACAGCAATACTTCATCAGGAGAGGGGATTGTTGATGGGAGTAACGGAGATGCTTGGCACATCGGAACAAGTCTTACGCAGACAAGAGGTACTAGCCTGGTAGAAATGCAACAAGATGACCCAGCTATTCGCCATGTGGTAGCGTTGAGACTAACCCAGCAGACCAGGTTGAGTCGAAGGCGTGCAGCAAAGGAGTCTGGTGTAGTCAGGAGGCTATTGCGTGCATGGGATCAGCTGGCGGTGAAAGATGGCCTACTTGTCTATCAGAAGAAGGGTAACTATGGTGATAAATGACAGTTTGTCTTAGTCCTACCCCAGCTGATGAGGAAACAAGTTCTCAAGCAGGTCCATGATTCGATGGGACACCTTGGCTTTGAGACGGTTTTCCAACATGCCGAAGACCGTTATTTCTGGCCCGGCATGCACACAGAAGTCAAGGCTTACATCCAGAAGTGTAAGAGGTGTACCCTGAGGAAGACACCGGACACAAGGAAACAGGCCACCCTGGAAAGCATCCGGACAACTCGCCCACTTGAACTTGTCTGTATTGACTTCCTGTCCCTGGAGAGGTCACAGGGAGGGTGTGAGCACATCTTGGTAGTCACAGATCTCTTCAGTCGCTACGAAAGATGAAAGGGCAACGACGGTAGCACTTGTCCTTTGGGAGAAGTTTATGGTTCATTATGGTATCCCAGAAAGATTGCATTCAGACCAAGGGAGGTGTTTCGAATCCTGTGTTACCCAAGAGTTGTGCAGCTTGCTCGGGGTGAAGAAGACAAGGACTACACCTTACCACCCTCAGGGAAATGGCATGACTGAAAGGTTCAATCGAACTCTGCTATCGATATTGGGAACTCTGGAACCAAGTCAGAAGGCCAATTGGGCAATGCATGTGGGTGCACTCACACATGCATACAACTGCAGCAGACACGAGTCCACCGGACACTCCCTGTTTCATCTGATGTTCCTGAGAAAACCAAAGGTACCCGTTGACCTGCTTTGTCCAGCTACAGCAACAGACCCAGAGCTCTCTACGCCCAGTCCTGATCCCTCAACATACGTCCAGCAACTCAGACAGCATATGCGCAAGGTCTTTCTGGAAGTACAGGAGACTGCGGAGAAGTCAAGGGCCAGACAGAAAGCAGGGTATGACAAGAAAGTGCGTGAAAGTGTCTCACAACCAAGAGACAGAGTCCTTGTGGCCAACAAGTCGGAGCGAGGGAAGTCGAAGTTAAAGGACCAGTGGGAAGCCGTCCCGCATGTGGTGGTACAGAAATTGCAGGGCATTCCGTCTTATATTGTGCAGAGAGTCGGCACCCCGGTTGTGAGAACCCTGCACTGCAACATGCTGATGTTGTGTCCATTCGATGTGACGCCCTCCGAAGCTTCAACTTCTGGACAAGACGAGACTGACACGGCGGTAGGTGTACCTGTAGTCCCACCACCAGATAGCTTCAAGGGTTCTGAGATGGGCCACAGCTCATCAGGGGATGCAGACCTCAAGAACAATTTGCTGGAGGAAGCTCAAGACTCCTCTGACAGCTTGGCAGCTTCATCAAGGAGACGTGCGACTTTCCGAGGCCGTGCACGATCCAAGGTCACCAAAAGCAGTGCAGGGGATTCTTCTTCTGAGGACGAACAACCCGCACACCCTCGACGGAGACAAATAGAGCCCCCTGATAGGTTTGGCAATTGCTTGTAGGTTCCCTTAAGTTCTCTCATTGTCGAGGACAACAATGCATTTTAAATGGTGGAGAATGTAAGGAGGATGATTGTAATCTTCTTTAAGTACAATAACTTCAGTTCCCTTTCCCAGTTCGACTTTCTAGAAAAAACTTGCGACCACGACATGGGTTGCAGCATGGACAGTGCAGCCATGGTTATGCCGAGACGACGCGCCGCTTAAATCTATTCGTTTTGACGAATAAATCTTCACTTTTCAATTTCTAGGACAAACGAAGTTTTAATGAGGCAAAATTCCCCAATTTTGCGGTACACTTTTCTCAGAATGTATAGAATGAAATATCTTGAGCAACATATTTTTAGAAAGGGTGTACCCTGACTTAAAATATTACAAGAAAACAAAGTGGTAGACAGGAATATATGTTTTATAATTAGAGAAAGTGTTACATAATCAAATTTAATTTCTGCTTTGATATTGTGCCAGCCGTAACACGCACTGAACCAGCTCTGAGCTTAAGTTGCACATCCCTGGGTAAATGGTCCGTAGCTAAAGTCATCTAAGACTGCACAATCTGCCAGTGGCCTAGAGGGAAATGTCAACATCAGATAATGGCAGACCTTCCCGCAGAAAGAGTCACAGAGGCACCGCCCTTCACATTTGTTGGGGTAGACGTATTTAGGCCATTTAAGGTCAACAGCGGAAGGGTCAACAGCGGAAGGACCAGAGGATGCACGGCTCAAGCTAAACAATGGGCTTCTCACTTCACATGTATAATGACAGGGGCAGTCCACATTGAAGTCCTAGAGGCAATGGAATGTTTTGAAGAATTTTCAGTGGGTAGTTTGTCAAAAAAGTTTGCCGCTAAAACCACTCAACGAACTTGCACGGATTCCACTGAAAGTGTCGCGTTGTTCCTAAGAATTCCCCTATTTGACGATATTTCTAGGTCGGATTCTCTCCTCTAAAATGTTTAGTGTTCTTTATTACATAAGATTATGCATGTAATTGACCCTTTTCTATTGTAAGGTTTAGTGTAGTGTAATCAGATCGTGAAGTAGATACTTAGTTTTTGTTGCTTAAAGACGTCCACTCACCATTTTTAATTTTAGCCTCATGAATATTCATAGGCTGACCATATTTGGGCTTCGCGTAGTCATGAATGGAAAGGATTGTAGCGTTGTATCAGCAGTGTGTTCGGGCATGTAGTACACTTATTCATTGATGTTTGTTTTTAGGTCACTGAATTCCACTTTTGGGCTATCAAAGACCTCAGACATCTCGAGCTATAGAGAGAACAATTCTGTAAGCGATTACATTTAATCACCCTCTGGACTGGCTGAAATTTATTATTACATGTATTCAGATATTTCCTTGTATCTTTATTTCTGTGATGTTTCTTTACGTCAGTCAAGATTCTTACGCTACATGACTTTATACACTTCCTAGACTATTTTGCATTATTTCTTATCAGTCTTACAGTATTTTTTTGTATTTATTACATTTTTTGGTCTTATTTTGTATTTTCCAGTCTTACCATCAAGCGAGAAAGAGGATTGTGATAAACAAGTTTATGCTAATTCTCTGAGTCCGTGGTTAACTGTTGGAAAGAGGGCACCCCGGCACGCCAGGTCCTTGCATGCATTTCATTATATTTTATGTCAAACATACATTTGCAAACTTTTCTATATTTGCACTTCCAAATGTTCACTTTAATATCATGTACTTGTCACAAAAAATTTAACTGTGTTGGTTGAAACTTGAACACAACTTAGAGAAAGATTCTGCTAGGATTGAAACGTCAGGTCCTCTGAATTTTTAATTTAGAGAATATTTCACAGTTTTCGGTATCTTGCTATATACATTAAAATTTGTCAGTTTTTCTGGACAAGTGGGGGCACTACTGCTGCAATGTAAATCAGGGAATTCAGGCAGAATTCAGTTCTTTTTACCTCTTTCCATTACCATTTTGTGATGTAGTAGGCTTCATGGAATGGTAATAGTGCCCTCTGTGGTTGGTCAGCTTTTTATAGCGGAGCCTGTGATGCAGCAAACACAGCGGAAATTCCTCCTGCCAGGATTGCTAGGAGAAACCAATGAATGTCATCAAGTTCTTTCAATTTCATTCCAGTGTTAACCCTGAAGTTGCCGGGTTATTTTGTACCATCTCACAGCCTAGGTCTTGGCCATCCCAAGCCCGATTTTTTCAACACTCACTCAGCGCGCATGTTAAACACTCCTTATCAATACAGATGTGGAGTTTTAAATCACTCTGATACATACAACTTATAGTTGATGGGGTCATTTGAAGTTCAAGGTCACTACAAGCGTACCAGCCACCGTGTGCACTCAGTACCGCGGTTGAAAGTGCAGGTAGTTTTTTTGGTTGACCTGTTCAAGAAAGTGGGTGCTGCATGAGAACAGTATGTGTGATTTTCACAGAACTGCTGTCAAAGTGACTATAAAAAGGCTGCTATATGAAATTAAAAGCTTGGGGTGTTAAAAAAATGGAAAAGTATGGCTGACCTCTTTCATGTGGCCAAGTGGTCAGGGTCTGTGGTTTCCAATCATAGGGTTGGAGGTTCAAATCCAGCTGCTGGCAGTATGTTCTGGCCCTTGGCAAGCCACTTCACCCCTGCTTGCCTCTCTCCACCCACGAGTATAAATGGGTACCAGCAATAGCTGGGAAGCAACCTGATTTTCACAGAATTAGTGTCAAAAAGACCACAAAAGAGTTACTGAAAAACTCCTGAAGGCCCAACTACTGTACTGTGGCGATATCAGAAAATATCTTGAGGGGCAAATTCTATCTACTCCCTGATTCTTTTAGGGTCAAATGAACACACACAATTAAATGCACAATAGTGATTGCCAAGTTGTCAAACCTGATGGCGATTTGGTCAGGTAGTATCTTAGGACCCCTATTGGCTTGAGCGTCTATATTCGAATTCTTCAATATTGCCTTGAAGTTACTTTGTGCATGTGTCTGTGACATCAATGTATGGCCTCAACATCATCTTATCATATTTGAAAAGACAACATACAGTCACTGCTGAAGACAGACTTCTCCTGGATGGACAGCACGTTCTTCCCCTCTCACTGCCATCTCTGCTTCTATCCACTTGCCAACAAGTTCCCTAACAATAAAGAAAATTTTAACTGGAATGGAGAAATAGAAAGGCTCATTTTTGTCAATTAATATTAAGGATTCCAAAGCCACTTTCATAATTAAAACAAGCACAATATATAACCCTTACTGTGCAGGGTTGTATGGTAGAAACCCTGGCAGACACATCAGTCTGCATTATTTGTCTAAGTAATTTGCTTGCCAAGTGTAACAAGATCCTACAGGTTAACTCTCCCCAAGGCCAAACAGCCTGGGAGTCTGTGGTTGCCAGCCACCACAAGATTCAACAGTGGCATTGTTCAATGAGACCAGCTCCCATCGTCTCAACATGACCAGTTTGTTTGGCTGCTGTTGATTGCCCAGTGCATCAAAAGCGTGTTCCCATTGGACTTATTTGGCTAACTTACCGTGACTTTCCTGTAGAAATACGAATTAAATCCATTGGGAACAAACTATAAACTGACGTCCCTGTCAATTTACTGCGATTGCTATGTAAAACTAACAGGCCGAAAAAGGTTGCGGGAGATTTCCGCGCAGCCACGTTAAGTTAGCGGGGGCACAAAAAGTCCAATGGGAACAGTTCTATAAGATGTTAATTGACCATGACCATGCTAAACATACAAACCAGACTACTGACTGCACAGAGAAAATGGTTTTATGGTTCCCAGCCTCCAGCTCCATGCGTACAGAACAGCAACATGCCACGCACACAGTCAGGCGTGCCTGGATAAAGCTATACACATATTGTGTACAGGGCGTTTCCTGTACAAGTTCGTAGTCTCTGTGGCAGATTTGGCAGAATTCGCCTGATTTTATCTTTGTTTTTGTCAGATATTGCCAATTTCATCATGATTTGTACAGCGCAGGTAATGTAATCAGCTGGTCTTATTAGGCCTAACACAGCGAATAAACATTCCGTTACGGTTAAAAAAGTCTACGTCGAATAGCGCGGTAGATTGACATGAATGAATGTCTCGGTAAGTTTCCAAGTGCCCGCAGATGAAATAGTCAAATGGGAACACGGCTGTAGTGCATCAGACTTTTACATCTGCTGCAGTATGCCACATCTGGCGGGGTTAGGGTGAAGGTCAGTATTTGCAAAGTGATAAATGCAGTTTTCACCATTTTTTTAAAATTCCTCTTCTAAAGGTTGTAGACTGATGGCCTCTTTGATTCCACAATCTGACCGTCTTGCTTGGACCTTTATCAATGTTCCAAAAGCAGATTTTATAACAATAAGGGACTTGATCTGTGAAATTAAAATAATCATAAAATGATTTAACTAATGCACCCATTTATAATAAAAAAAAATCCTTTATACGAGACAAATATTCATTTTCATGTTGTTATTTTTAAGGACCTGCAAAAAAACTGTTCAAAGGTTCAAAATTGTGGCTTTCATCAGTTAAGTTTTTGGGAAATTATACCCAAAGACAGGTTTACCCTCGGTTATGTTCTCAGCCAGAAAATATTTGTCATGTCTACAAAGTATATAAGATCCGGCACTGTGCAGTCTCTTTAGTTTTTAATTTAGTTCCCTTAGACAACACAAATTAACACAGAACCATACATTTTTTTTTATGGCTGCACCAAGTGGGATCTTCAACTTTATTTTAAATAAGGAAAGATTTTCAGCTGAAGCAGACACATTATTCAAATTATGCCTGATCTTCCTCACCCTATAGGGGAAGGGAAAGGTTATCTCCTCCCCCTCCCACACACAGTGACATAACACCTTCCATCGCTTTCCACCCCACGCATCCCCCCTCCACCCTTCAAAAAATTCTTCCCCTCTTGTTTTCCTTTTCATGGGTGGAGGGTGAAGCCACCACAGCTTCCTACGGTAATTGCGATCAAATTAGAATGGTTAGCAGCTGTCAATTACAAGTACGTGTGCATGAGCATGATGTCATATCCAGACTTGCATGTACTTGTCTCCATCATCCAGTCTTCTCTTACCTGATTGCCAGCTGCCAGGTGTGTATGCAGGCGTGGGGTCCAGGATCAAAGTGTGCCAAATGCAATGCAGGCATATAGGGTGCATTCAATTACAAGGGAGACCTGAAAAATACCAAGCTCTCACAATAAGAGAAACTCAACTAACTGAAGAATCTTCAACGGCAAAGTTGCAGGGAACTGAATCAACAGGGACTCACACACCAATTCTACATTAAGTATCAAAACCAAAAAACTGATCAACCCCTAATAAAAAATGACCAAAATGACAAATTAAATAAGACTTGAAAACAATGAACTAAGGTTTAACCAAAAAATGAGCTGGGGGCTGTGGAATCACAGATCAGCCAAAACTTTGCACTTCTCCACTGCCGTGCTCAATGTACATGTACATCTAGGCGGGCCGGCACATACAGTGTGTGCGGTCTTGAACTTAAAATGACCATCATAACAAAACAATATGTTGGATTGAGCTCACCTAATTTTAACAAAATGAAGCACGAGAGGGCCAAGTCACAGTGCCAGCTAGTCATATTATCCAAAATAACCCCTTTTTTAGCATTTACCGGCACAGTGTGTCAAACAGAAATTACAAGAATACATCAACATGTACACTCAGACTTCAATCACTGACTCTAGCAGACAGGACTCAAGCAGAAAACCACACCCAAGTTATGTGGAACAATACATGACATGTACTGAAAGTTGACTTGTCTCTGCTGATCTGCTTCACTGTGTATCATGGCCACATTACATGTGGCCAAATCAAATGCAAGGAAGCGGAATTCTAAACTGCAGTCACTTGCAAAAGTTTAAGACCACCTGGAATTTTCTAGGTATTTCTGTCACCGGGCCAGCATTACATTGCCCATTGAAAGGTGTATAACATCACTGTAGTAGTGCAATCTGTATACCCATTCGAATGAAAATTTTCGCAAAGGCAGGTCTTGTATGATATTTTGTCAGTATGGCTGCATGGGTGAAAAAAAGTTTAAGTAATTAAATCATCATTTGGGCAAACTGAACATAATAAACTGCTGGGTAAATTAATAAAAAAAAAAAGCAATTGAGAAATACCTTTATGTGACTGCAATGTACCAGTGTGTGACCTCAGAATAGTGTACATCCAGTATATTTGACCTGTTATTGAGTACGCCTCCCCCATCTAGTTTTCATGACTTCACTGCCAAACCTCTGCTGAAAAACTATGAATTTGTTCAGTTACAGTAAACAATGATAATGAACCTTTAAAATACATGCTACTTATCACCTCTGTGAACAATTTTGGCATCATGAAATTTAAAAACCTGAAATTCAAAACGACAGCATCCAGAAATTAGCACAAATTTGGCTGACTTTCCATATTTGTGGCACACTTGAACAAATCTCTGAAAATCCCAAATCCCACAGAAGATTAGAAGTTCTTCAAAGTTGATAAATTCTAGTATTATCCCTAAATTTACATGTACAAATTTATATTCAGAAAAGTAGGTGTAATGTTAGTAGTTATTTTATTCACTATGGGTACATTTTCAAAGCGTTCATTTTGCACTTCAAAATTGGAAATCAGGTCAACAGGCCTGAGTTGTGGACATACCTTTTCGATTGCCAAATTGTCTGAAGTCCAATTTAGAATCAATTGAGTTGATAACCCATTTGCTTACAAAGCTTTCAAAGACCTTTGCAAGCAGAGGAGTAAGAGAGATTGGTCTGAGTTTCTGCAAGGTGGGTGGTTGAACTTTCGGTATCGCAACATTAGCCTGCTTCCATTGGAATGGGACAACACCCTGCTTAAATGACGAATTTAAGATATTAGAAACTGGAATACTAAATTTGTAAGCGAATTCTTTAAGGATCTTTGCAGGCAGGTTGTCGGGACTGCCAGTTTTATTGGCAGAAATCTTCCTTAGTTCTTTATAAATCTCCCAAGGATAGATTTCAGGAGGGTCTGACATACTAGGCAAACAGGCCTAAATTGTTCAAATTAATAGGCTCCTGGGTTTGAGAGTTAGGTGGCAAGATAATTATTAATGACGTCAATGTCAATAGCTTTTTATCAACAGTCTTCATGTTAGCTAGGTTACATGTACGAATTTCTTTGTGCCATCTTCAAGGGTCAATTTTCTTTACATACTTGACCAGCATAGTACAGCTGCTTAGCAGATCTAATTTAACGAGTAACCTGGTTTCTGAGGATATATCTGACTCTATCTCCATTATTAAATGCTCTTTGTCTGCACAGTATTATTTCTTAATTTGATTATTAAACCAGGGTTTATCGTCATGATACTTTCTAAAAGTTCTAGTGGGGAAATAAAAATCAACATGTTTGCTGATCATCTCATACAAAAAATCAGTTTTAACTTGACAAGGGCTAGGCAGTCTCCTGAAGACGGACAGAGTACACTGTTCGAAACGTCGAGTTATTCCCCGGTTCTTCTCAGAACCACACATACTCAAGAAAGAGACTGATCCATGGCGTAACCGCAATCATTTTACTCATATAGTAAAACTTTATATATAGTTATATCTTATAACACATGTGTAACCATCCTTTCTCCATGGTCTCAGGGACTACGCCTATGAATTTCATTCCTGTAATTGTAAACATGGAGGTAGGAAATAGGCATGGGCTAGGCCCGAAAGTGTGGAATAGGGCCTAATAAAAACATTGTACTTACTCTATATCACGTAGGCATGGTAGGTGTGCCAGCGATTCCTAAGAGACCAATTTCTTACGTTTTGTCTTGATGATATACAAAGTCGCGAAAATAAACGGTTTAAAGCGACCACCATGCGCTCGTACAAGTCGTAGTGCACTGCCGTCGCTAAACGTGCACGTGCGCAACCGTACCCACGTGTTGTGTCCTGTGAGTGTATGTCTAATCGGTCCGCCCAGATTCTGGGGTTCATTACCGGCATTAGCACCCTGTTCCTATAAAAAGGAAACAAAATCAACTTTCTCAAACTAACTAATATTTTGACCTTAAGGAACCATTACACAATCCTGATAGGCCTAGTTTAGGTAGATTTTGACAATATTTAAGCAAGAAAACCTCAAATTTCCAACCCGAGTTTGGCAAAAGACAACCACTCCGTCGAATCACGCCATTTAGTTTTTCGTCTGGTTACCCGACTAAAACATTTTGAATAGTGATTTTTCCTAAGTCCGATTGCAGCCATTTTTCGAGTGGCAACCCTCAACTTTCTAGGGCACTTAGGACCATTTTCAACCGTAGTTAGCCATTCTGCTCTCATATGAAAGTTCAAAGACCCAGGGAGTTGATCCTGGCAACGATTTGCACAATCTCACCATTTTCGGGGGCAAACAATCTCCTTTTTCAAAAGATACAGACCTGCATAAATCTCCGTCATGTGCTTGGTGGATCGTTGACCACGCACGTCAGTGAATTTTTTGTTCTATTCAACGGGCACCATTGAATAAAGCTCCATTTCAGTTGCCTGCTTTACCACCCCCATTTCATTCACAGAGAGAAAGAAGAAAAATAATGAAGGGACCTGACCCTTAATGAAATACGAAAATACCACGAATCCCGTTTTGCAAAATAGCGGACGTAATATGCGAGGCCGTTATTTTTTCTGAACAAAAGATATGCGGATAAAAGCAAACAATGAATATAACATTTTCTTGCAGTGGTAAGAAATTTCATTCAATAATAGATCAACTGTTGAATTCCATCTATCACTTTACGATATCATTCTTACCTTGGATTTATAAACATTCAGCATTCTCATATTCCTGCATTTATACATGTACCCCAATGTATGCAACAATGAATGCTGGGACCTATGATATGCTGGTTTGGCATAAGTTTTAAGAAAAGATTTAAATTGACGAAAATAGTAGAGCACATATGTGCAAGGTGTTAAACACAGTTTTGAATGTTCTGTGTGCCAATGGATACAGAAACTTGAATACACATGTGTTTTGATAAAAGTTAAGCTAGACAGATGTTCATTTTCTGTATCCAAAGCCAAACTGAAAAGGGCCGAGTTGCACACATATTCTGTTTCAGAAGAAATTCTAAAATGGTTAAAACAAATGGGTTTCAGATGTAACTTTAAAAACTGTAAGGTTCATTTTTGAACTGTTGAAATAGTGTGCAATTTGTAGGGATGATGCCCACAGGCAGCCGACCCACAAGAAGTTCAAGCCTATATGAAACAACTACTTTTGACCAAAACACCTGACAAGAATTTTTCTTCAATTTTGTTTTAATAATGTTTTAAATTGTCAGCTATTTTAGTTACTTTATGCTTAAATTAAAGTAATATTTATTTATGAAGTTGCTTTTCTAAGTTTGCTGTACAGAACTACATTTTCATATCAAAATTGAGTAAATACTACCTTAAATACAAAAATTGGGAGACTTTCCATTCAGAAGCTCACATCAGTATAAAAAACTAATCTCTGGAACCTTTCCATATTTCTTTCACCGACACTTGATGACTTGACTGAATTATCAAGGTATAGTAACTTGAAGAAGCTGTTGCCCTTTTGACCATGAGAGCAAGCCACTGTTCACAGCTATACATGTACATGTACAATGTACACAGCCTGTGTGTAGACAAAATTGAACATAAAGGCAAGGTGGTGAAAACTTTAAGGGGTGACCAAAGAGAAGCTACAGGGAACACATTGGTGACTGAGAAAAATTTTACCATCCAGAGTGATAAGTGGAATTCAAATGTGACCATCTCACTTTACCTCCACAAAGCCCACTAGATATTCAAGAAAATAATAGAAAAATACTTGTACTGTGATAACACTTCCATATTTCTCATTAATGTGTTTTAAAAAAGAAAGGGACTTCGTATATTACGATAATTTTAAACTGAGAAGGCAACTACATGTATTCTGGAATTTCTCAGTGTTCCAAAGAGGAAATTGTTTGAAAGACACCATTTCAAAAATTACATGCGAAAAAAGAGAGACTGAAAACTGTGAAACACACCAAAATCACTTCAATTCACATTTCCATAAAAGTATTTTCACCTTGCCTGAAGTAATGATTATTTTTACTGTTTTTCCCAGCCTGTCTTATCTTCACTTCTGCAACTATCCATTTGATTTTCTACATCCTGGACAAACAGGTTGGTGAACAACGGGTAAACCAACCCTTCTGATCAAGATCAAACTTCACCAAGTGAAGTTTTCCGTGTAACACTTAATGTAATGTAATGTGTAACACTCAGTGATGTCTGAGTTTTCTCTGTTAAAAATAATTGCTCGTTTTGTTTGCTCCTAAAAGTTTAATGAACTGTCAAATTTTCCCTTTTCAAAATATAAAGTCTTTGGTATGCTTTGAATTATTAAATGTGTTTCAGATTTCAAAGATCCGTCTTGGATGAATGCCAAAATCAGGCATGGAGACAGAAAGTCACTGGCAATAGGCCTACAACCCTTGGCAGGCAAAAATTGTTCTGGTAATGAAATAACTATAAAAACTACCATGGTAGCAAAATTTAATGTTTTACTTGTTCATTCAATCTTCACCCTTTGGAGGTTGGAAATAACAAGTTTGAACTTGGATGAGGAAATTGATACTGACACTCTGTCAAATAAAAAGTCAAACATTTATCTTCGGTTCTAAGCCAAGACTCATTATCGAGATGACAAATATCTAGACTGTTGTAAAAATTAAGGGCATAAGTTTGTGATGTCAGTTAATGAGGACGAAATGGAATGTGTTTATATGTGCTGTGACTTTGAAATGCTGAATACTTTTGATTTGTAAGGATATAAGTGTAAAGACTGATAAAACAACATGAAAATTTAACCAAAAATTACGCACACATTTCTGTAATACACAATCAAAATAGTTAAACCATTTTCTTTCTAACAAAATTAAAAACAGTAATTTTTGCCCTTTTAGATAAGATGCTCTCTAGTGTGGAAGCATTACGGTTCTGAAAGCATGCAGGAGTTACAGCACAACTGTGTAAAAAAAGGATAGTGAAAAGCACCCCAGAGATTTTCATCAAGACGCTGAGATTTCTTGAATGGTCAACTTCTGGGAACACATAAGTAGGCTATCGCTCTTGCCTCATGCTCTGTTAGGGGATCATCCAACAAGCTTTCTATTGGCCCTATTCAATCAAGAGCAAAGGTATGAATTCAATTCACAGGTGTTTTTCCATCTGAGAGAAGAAGGTTGTATCCAAATAATGCTGCTTTATCTTTCAATAAATCTAAAACACAATGAGGTTACGTTCTGTTTACATGTGTGCTTTGCGATGTGGACTGGATGGATCTCATCCCACCTCACTGCCATAGGAAACACACATTTAAACAAAGCGAAACATCATCATATTACAGGGTTATTACATACAAATCTATTGAAAGCTGCTTCAGCCAATAATTTGCCACTAACATGGGCACAAGTGCCAACCACAGCTACATAATTTAGACTGGGGCCAGAGGCTATCCCCTGACCTGGGTGCTCCAGCTGTCACACATGTATGCCTACCACACACACAGACAGGTTTCAGCATGTCCAAATGCAAATTGTACCTACCCACTCCACGCCTCTAGAAGTGGGGGCACAAGTGATGTGGTTGCTATTTACAAAGCGCCCTCTGTTGTTCTGTATAAATTCCATGATGAAGTTTTCTGAATGGAGGAAATGGCATGTCTCAAGGTACCCCCCCAAAAAAATTGGTTATTTGGATGCTTGCTTACAGTACTCTAAATGCAGTATGAGAGACAGGATTAAAGAGTGAAGTCTGGGTGTGCTGGCTTGATTGACCATGACTGACTTTTCAACTCCTGTTGCTCGAGTATCATACAATATGTAACAAAAATCATTTTCTCAATTTGATGAGATTCCTTGAAATCCAAGCAAGTGACTATAAAAAGAGTACGCAAGATAAATGGAAATACATGTATAAAAATTAACACACTTATGTAACAATAAAATCTATCTACTGACAAATGAAAAACTGTACATAAATGTTCAGTATAAAAAGGCACTTTCACAGCTTATTTTAGCTTTTTCACGAAAGAATTCTCAAGAGTAATGGACATGCGCCAATGTTGTCACTGAAGTCTTTTGTTCACTCCCAATGAATCTTACTATGGATTCATGAGCTTTTCCACGGACACACCTACAAAGCTGCTTTGGTTCATGTATTTGTGTGCATCCTCACACTTGGAAGATTGCCAGCTAGGCTTGAGCTGTCAAAACATTTTACGAAAATACTTTGCACGGTATCTATGATTACAAGTTCTGAAAATGAGATACGTAAATGAAACAAGAGGAAAAGTCAACTGATTTTTCTCAGAAATTAATCAGTTTGTCTCCATAACATGCTCCATTCCTCTATGTGAATGCGAGTTTCACAAATAGCCACCACAAATTTTAATCAGACAGGGCCATCCCTCCTACGTCAACTTGTTGAACAAATACAAAATACATACAAACAAAAGTAAGTTCATTTCCTGTATCTCACCAAAAAAAAATCCATAATACAAAAACAGCCTATTCTTCACCCCCTTCATCCTTTGCGAAGCACTGAATTTGTTGTCTCTTCAGCTTACATATAACATGGAGTCAAGGGGACGTTATGGGAGACAGGCTGTAATCCCAAACCTGCTGCCATTCATGCTAACACACAGCCCTTGTAAACCACTCTTTCAAAAAGCAAGCTTAAAAATTATGTTCAAGCTTGACTTTCCACTTCTTTGAACCCCGCTAATGGCTGCATGAACACAACAGCATGCACCCCTCCAACAGCATTCTGCACGCTGTAGCTGCTCACGTTGGAACTCTTGTCCGGCCACGAATAACACTATCACAGCTGTAGAAAAGTTATCAAGCCTCTCAGAGTTCTTTGTTTATCTGAAAGCTCTGTTGAAGCTCCTGTCGTCGCTTGTCCTTGCTCGGTCTCATGCGACAGGCCATGGCACGGCCATTGGCACACTTCCTTTTATTGTACAGGTCTGCCCTGGTCGGCGACATTTTGTGCATGTCTCTCATGTGCATGGCAAGATAGTCAGTCCGTGCAAATCCCATCCCGCACCCATCGCACTTGTAAGGCTTCAGGTGGGTGAAAAGGTGCTCCCTCATGTGCTGTTTGCTCTTGAAGCGCTTGTTGCAATCGTTGAACTTGCACTGGTATGGCCGCCGGTCAAGATCCCCACTGTTGGTGTCTACGATAGTGTAGTACGGTGTCAGGTCGAGGCCCCCACCAATGTGAGTAGAGAGGGCCTCCGCACGAAAACTGGACGAGTCAGAGACTGCCTTGCTCCTTGGGCGACCGCGCTTCTTACCCCTCTTGATGTGGATCTTAAGCATGATTCCACGTTTCTTTCTAAAGGGCCTCTGTCTGTTAGGTTTGTACTCTGGGTCTTCATTCTCACTGTGTCTTCGTTGTTTCCCCTTAAAGGTGTAGTTGCCAGTTCTGCGCTTTGGCCTTCCAGATGGAGTGTACATTACATCTTCATCAGATTCATCCACAGAATCATTAACCTTGGTGGTCACATGATAGGTAGCTGAGCAATCTTGATCACTGGAATCAATTGAACTGCTACCCTCTTTGTCTTCCTCCTCCATTTCATCTTCTCTGGTCTCATCCTCTAGAGTTGCGTCAACCTTTTCTTCATTGTCTTCTTGCTTAAAGTCTTCCTTGCCAGTGCTTTCCTCTTGTTCAAGCTCCTCTTTCTTTGCCTCCTCTAGGATGTGTTCTTCCATTCTGTTCACCATCAAGTCGTAGTCATGGTTTACTTCGCCATTTTCTTGAGGAGATGTGGAAGTAGTTTTCAGACCAGAGGTTATTTCCTCTTGAACAAGGTCTTCGGTTACCTTGATGGGAATCAGCTGCTTCCTCTTGGACCAAGTGGCATCTGATTTGGGTGGGGTGATAGGGCTCTCCTTTGGGGATGTCTGTGCTTGAGCACTTCCTGGAGATATCTGGGACCCATTTGCACTGCCTGATTCAGCATCATCTAACTCCTCCTTTGGACTGACCTTAGACAGGGTGACTGGTGTAACAGTTGAGTCTTCATCTTCCTGGTTAGCAGCAACTCCAAAGAAATCAACTAGATCTTCATCCTGATCATCATCAACATGATGTGACCTCTTTCTACTCCTGCCCCGATGAACAATATCTGACCCACGCGGGAGAATGATAGTGGAAGGAGGCACAACCATGCTTCTGGAGCCTGGGGAAAAGCCATTTCGTACAGGACGGACAGTCACTTCATCAATTTTGGACTTTGATGCCAATGGTTGGTAACAAGTTTCTGGAATGTGATCAGTGGGTTTAAGTCGCTTCCCAGACTTGAACATCATTTCCAGCTCTTTGGCATCACCTTCAAAGCTGTGGTTCTTTTTGAGGTGGTCTGCCAAGTATTGCCAACGAGTAGTGTCAAAACTGCACTCACCACATTTGTATGGCCGTGAATGGATCCGCACATGATCAGTTAAGTTGTTTGAACGTTTGAAACGATTACCACAGATGTGGCAAGCATATGGCCTATCCTCTGGGTTCTCATCTGCCCTTGATCTCTTTCGGCGTCTTGGTGATTTTTGCTGGTCAGATGATCCTGAGGAGGAATGGCGTTTCTTTGGGGAACAAGGTACGGATTTAGGACTGGGTAGACTGGAAGGGATATGAGAGGGGCCAACATGAATGGGTGGTGGAATAAAGGATCCACTTGTTCCTGGCATATACTCTGGGGGAGGGTGATGCTGATGTGCCAAAGGTGGATGGCTAATTCTGCTCTCCATGCTTTCTCCCTGGCCATAGGGCAACTTCCCTGGTGGATCATCATAAAGAGAATGCAAGGCAGGTGGTGGAGGGGCAGGAGGTAGTGGCTTCGAGATTGGCTGCATGCTGTCCCGTGGAGACGTTACTTCTGCACCATTCTGTGGCTCGCGTGCGTACTCTGAAAACTGAACAGTCTTTTCAGGGTCACTGGGTACGTCAACTGGGTCAGTAGACTCTCTTCTGCTGGGACCTTCCAAAGGATGGCCTTTAGATGGGAGATTATTTATAGGGGTTTCTGTTGGCTTCTGCAGAGAAAGATCCTGTGCTTTCTGCGGTCCTTGATAGACCAGGGGAGGAGGTTGATCATTTTGTAACCCATTGTCCACCTGCCTGGGTATGTTTATCTCATGGTTTGGAGCAGTTCCACTGATGACCTGAGGGACACTGGTATCACCAGGCAATCCTTGTCTTAAGGGAGGAGCAGTGGCTCTGGCAGAAATGGGAGTCTCACCTTGAGCGACTGGTCTCCCAGGAATGTGTGCTGCGTGGGAGTAAGGATCCCCCATGCGTTGAGAGGATGTGCCATGGGGGTTGTTCTGCTCTAGGTGAATGGGCTGCTTACCAATCTCACTGAATTCATGGGGTGTTGGTACAATCTGCAGATCATGCGGTCGGGTTTCCTCTGAACGCTGCCTCCTTGAATTTGCCTTGTGATAATGACTGCTGGCACTGATTACTGCATCTGCCGGTTCCCTGTTGGTGGGGTTTCTCATCATGTGGTTCCCAACGCTCTCTTCATATGGATACTTGGGAAAAATGAACCTGTCTGGCTGGGTAGAGCCTGGACTAGCTGATGAGAAGGCAGCCTTGGGTGACGGGTATCCATGAGGTGGATACCCATTCTGCATGCGGAACTGCTGTCTTTCTTGCAGGCGTTTCCTCAGATGTTGGTGCTTCTGCTTTTCCCACCTATTTCTTGGCAGACGCTCCCGCTGATGCTTGTCAGGAGGCATTTTATGCATGTTCGGACGCTGCTTCTCAAGAACCTGATAGTCACGGCTTTCCGGATAACTATCTCCCCTATCCATCACTGGCGGGAAGCAATTTGGTGAAGGGAACCTAGATTCTGGCAGAGTAGCACCCATATGAGGAGGTCGATGGCAGTAGTTCATTGCAGCAGGTGGAGGCACAGGGAGGTGTCCAGGGAAATACGGATCCCTTGGATCCACCAACGACCCAGAATGAAACATGGAGATATAGGGATTACTAGGATGAGGAAACCTGGGAAGGTAAGGCTGTCCCGTCGACGGATCCATCATGGGAACTCCTATGGCATTGTACATTGCTCTGGGATCAAAGCTAGGAGAGGTGGGTCCAAACTGTTGTGGAGGATACTGTTGGCTGGGACGATTTAATGCCTCCAGGATGACACTCTTTCGTGGTGGATTAGTGCCCTCAATTCTGTCTGCAGCTTCACGCAGGGAACTGACCGCAGAAATGATGGGCAAGACCTGCTCTCTGGATGGCTTGCTTGTTTGAGGTACAGCTTGTCTGGTTTCAGCCGAGTTTGAAAGAGACAGAGACTTGGATGTTTGCTGCTGTTTATCAACAAGGTCTACTCCCTCACGCCTTCTTGGACTGGTAGCCCGATTTTCATTCGGAGTTTCATTCTTGGTGGCACTTGGCAACTCTGAAGTATGCATACCCCCCATATCATGTGAACTACACAAAGGAGACACAGCCTTTCTTAGAGAGCCCCCTACATACCCATCAGCAGGTATATTTACATGTACAACTTGTGGGTCTGCTTCTTCAAGATTAACAGGCTCCTGTTTTACCCTAACTGTACTGTCTACTGACAAATCTCTGCACTGCTTGGGAAGCTGTGGTCTGGGAACCCGAACTTGCTCAATGTCATCCTCAACTTCCTCCTCAGGACTTTCTCCTTCGTGGCTGTCCATTTCAACCGGATGATCTAATGCTCTTGAGTGAGATGATACTCCAGATTCCCTTGGTGATTGGATGCTTAATGTTTCATTGGCAGGGATGTCATCCATATCTGCTTCATCCAAGGTCAGGTATTCAGTTTTTACCCTAACATCTGGACTTGTGCTACACTTAGCTTGCTCTTGGCTGACATCTGTTACACTGGATTCATCCTCACCTTCTAGGCAATCAATATGAACTGGTTCAGTGGCCGGTGAGCTGACTGGAAAGACATTATCAGTTTCAGTCGATTCTGGAATCTCTGCTTCAGCAGTCCCATCCATGAAAGCCACATAGCCATCTTCATGTGGGTCACTCTCACTGCCCTCTGCATTTAAAACTGTGTAATAGGTATTTCTTGAACCAACCTCATCAGCTCTGTCTGTATCATCAAAAGTCTCATTGTTGGATGCCACTTCGTGAGCTTTAAGATACTTGGGTCTTATTTCGAGGTTTTCATCGTCAATGACAACACTTTCATCAAGGGCCTCTGAGGCCCCTGTCTGACTTTCCTCTTCATCCCTTAGGAGGATTGGTCTTGGCTGTATCTTGGAGACACCATCTTCTGCTAAAACAGATTCTTCATCAGAGTCATGGTCAGAGCTTGTCCACTCCAGAATATCTTCATCAGAATCAAAGTCGCTGAGTGATTTAATAGAGCCCTTGTTTTCAACCACATCATCCTCATGGTCATTTAGAGAAGTGTTTTCTGAATCACCTGGCAGAACCTCTGAAGTGACCTTAATGGTGTCAGTTTGAACTCCCTCATCTGATATTGATAAAAGTTCAGTTTGGTGGGTTTTACCTTCAGCTGAGAGGTCATTACTCAAACGAGTCTGGGTTCCAGCATCATCTGGGCTTTTGCTTACTTTTACAACATCAAAGGCAAAATGTTTAACTATAGTACTAGCATCACAGTCCAGGGAATCTTGATCTTGCTGCTTTTGTGTTACACAGGCAGGCACTAACTCAGTGTTCTGTTCTGTTGATGCATCTGTGCCATTATCAGTATCTTCTGAACAAGCAGGAATCACTTTAGGAATGGAAATTATTGTGTCTTTGGTTTTAGGGGTTACAGAACTGTCACTGGAGCCAGATTCTTGGGAGGAAAGTACCTGGACTCTATGAGCATCAGAAGAGCTCCCTATGGAAGACTCTAGACCTTGTGAATTCTCATTAACAATAGATGGTGTATTCTTACTGGACTTCAACTGCTCAGAACTGGCAGCCTCTGTGGTTTGACCGGATGTGTGTGAGTCGATTTCAGAGCTGTTTACTTTTATTTTTAAATCACCCATGCCTTTGTTATGGCGGGCAGTGCTGCACAACTGCTCCTGCTGGTCTGAGATTTCCATCCCATCCTGAGAACATAGTTTACTCACATCAGTCTCTGGTAAATGAGTGTAATCTTTTTTCACTTGAGTTTTTTCACTGCTTGAATATGTCACATCGGGAGCTATACCAGTGCCTGATCTGTCCACTTCTTTGGATGGCCTAGCATTATTAGCGCCACTTTCCTTTTCCTGGGTTGGATCAGTACTGTCCGGGGATGACTGCATATGAGTTACGTAATTGTGATCCGGTGGAACAGGTGTTGTAGGTTCTTTCCCATTGCCATCCTTTCCTTGATTACCTGATGCACCTTTATCAGCATGTTTATCAGAAGCTTTCTTGTCTGTCTTACGAGTGCCACCTCTAGAGTTGTCATCATCACTGCTGTCGTCATAACCATGGTATTTTTCACTTCCAAAGTAATCATTTGGCAAATCGTCATCATCTAGCTCCATTTCAGGATCTTCGTTGTCCGAGCGTTCATCTTCTTCACCCACAGGTCTTACTTCTCCCTCGACTTCCATCAAGTCTTCCTCCTCACCCTCACTACTTACAGGTGACGGCTGTGATTTTTTGGATTTGGAGGCTCTTTTCCTGCGGTATTCCGGCCCACCATGCTGCAGTTGAATGTGCTTCAGGACGTTGTCTTTGCGGGCAGACTTCCATCCGCACAAGCTGCAGCTGAATGGCTTGATGTGTGTTTTGATATGCTCCAACAAGCAGTGCTCTGAGGTGAACCCCTTGGAACAAATCTTGCAAGAGAAGGGCCGCTGAGATTTGTTCAGGTATCTCCCGTGGGTGTTGATCAAATTCCTAGTATTGGCATTTTGGTCTTTCAGAACCTTGGCTGCACAGTGACTAGCTGATCTACCATGCTCAGAGGATGATCGTCTCCGTTTCTTGCTGTGGTGCCTACTCTTTTTCTTTCTTTTCACACTCATGACAAGTTTTATTGGTGGCCTAGATTCTGAATCTGCGGTCTCTGTTATGACTGACAATCCTTCTGATTTCACTTCCTTAGCCACACAAGCCTTCTTGAAAGTTGCATTCCACTTCTTAGCAGCTGGGTTGTCCGCCAGAGTTGATGGCACTGGTTTTGGAAAAATTCTTGCACATCTTGGCAGCAGGTATTTGTCCTGCTTTTCATCAGGATCCTTGTTTACAAATTCTGGATTCTGGCTCGGCAGCAAGTGATGACACCTGACAACATGCCTCTCTAAGTCTACCAAGGCTTTGAAGCGAAGCTTACAAATGGAACAGATTATGTTAAATGCTGGCTTCTCTGGCACACAAGGTCTGCTGTGGTGGAAGGACAGCGAAGCCTTAAATGCAAATCTTGCGTCACATGCGTTGCACCTGTATGGCAGTCTGACATGCTCAGGAATATTGTCAGTGTGCATCTCAGCTGCCAAATGGTTGAAAAGACTCGCCTTGCTAACAAACAGCTTTTTGCACTTCTCACACTGGAATATCTTGATGCCTCCTTTAGTTGAGGCAGTGGTAGGTACCTCTGATGTCCCACTTCCAGTCGTTATCACCTCGGACTTCATAGAACCAGAGTCAGCATCTCTGGTGGGAGTTGCGCTGATGTCTGACCCACTGGTGCATGATGTTGATTGCATGAGCTCCAGCTCAGGATTGGGGCACAGCGACTTTTGCCTTTGAGGCTGGACACTAGCGACTGGCTGCTTCCCAATGACGACAGGCCGATTGAAGGAGCTGATGGCCGTGTGGCCAGAAACTGTTGGAGTCACCTGCATTACCGATCCCTGTGATGCAGTGGTACTCGCTAGGAAACCTCTTTGTGCTACACTGGAAGAAACTGTCATCCCTGCAGGCTCCTGGGAGACAGAGGTGTCACAGTGGTGCCGAGTGTTCAGCAGATTCTTAACGGTGTTGACGGGGAGTATGGAGCTGCCAGGCTGGATGATGGGCAACTGCCCTGTGTTTCCCTCTTGGCTCTCCTTCCCGACGACTATCAGGTTGCCGTGGCTGTCGAGCTTCAGGGTGTCACCTCGCTGGAGCAGAAACACCGTCTGCTGGGGTTTGATGAGGGTGGGTGTGGGTGAGCTACAGGTGAAGATTGTGTTGTTTGCTTGTGGCGTGCTGCTCACTGGAAGTTGATGAGCAGTCTGAAAAAGAAATAAACAGGTAGAAGATAGAGTTCAAGATTATGTACGGTATTCTCATGTCAGTAATGTTTAGTAAACTCCAGTTTGATCTGGTCATTTTACGTGAGTGACACAGATGTACTATATCATTCTCCCAACAATGCTGTCTCATTTTAAATTATTTGTTTCTGTACTATCAGGGTTGTATGTGGCCACATAAAGTAAGCTGAAAAAGCTAGGGAAAATAGGTGAAATTTAGAGAGATCCCATAATTTTGTAGAGAGCAGGTGTACAAAAAAGCTGAAATTCAGATTAAAAATCTAAACAAAAAAAGCCGAAATCAGACAAAAAGCTAACTTTCACACCCCTGGCTATATATTCAAAACAAGTGATTGCTTTTATGTTGAGAATAAGGTTTGTGTATCAATCACGTGTGTAAACAAGGATAACCTGATCTTCAAAATTTCATTAACCCCTTCTCGGCGGGAATTTCTTTCCAAAAGCCGACTCCCAGAATTCCAGCCTTGCTTGGCCACGAAGGCTACCTGCCAAACCGCAAATTCTTTGAATTATACGGTGAAAAGGCTGATTGTTCGGTGGCATGCGGCTCTACTTAAGCTTCCACATTCCCGTTGCCTCTTTTCAAAGTGGGGACTATTGTGAATCTGGCGATTATGATGCAAAATTGGTCTTTTCATTTCTGGGCTACACACAGAGACCAATTACCATATACACAAGAGCCAGGGTCTGCCTTCTTTCACCGTGTTCGCTCGAGCGTGGGCCGAGAATATTAGCTGAAAAGCGGGCTAAGGATCTCAATTTTTACAGCGGCTATAGCCGCCTCCCAGTGCGAAGGGGTTAAAGACCATCCGTGTTGAGATACTTTATTACCGGAATAAATATAAACTTGGCCGGTCTTAAACATGCATTTAAGACTGGCTAAGGAGAATGGATGTGACTACGTCCAAGTCGCAGGTGAAGGCATTATCAGTGTTCAATCTCCTGAACCTTAAATGTTAGTTAAAGACCGTCCAAACACACGTTTACTCCCATTCAAAAAACTTAGTCAGAGAGTCAACAGAATATACGATGGATTTTCAACAATTTTGTTGTAGAATTTTACTGTCATTTCCTGAACACCCCCGTCCATTTACTTTACAATTGTCCAAAAGAATCTCCTTATATGGACTTAGTACACAAGTGGCGAGCTGCATGCATACAGACTCTTGACCAATCAGAATTGATTAAACTGTCTCATATCCAGGCATCAGCATGTGATTTAAGCAGCGGGCATTATCACTTCTATGCGGGCAATATCAAATGTTAATACACAGTCAAGTTGCACATTGTTGAATAGGGAGACTGTCTGAGGTATTTGCGAATCTAATATTAACAAACGCCTGTAGAGTTAAGATCGCAGTAAGACATTAACCTCTTTCTTCTGTTTTGTTCCTTCAATTTCTTTTCTCTTTTTCCTGCAGCTTCTTTGTTCTCAAGCGGTTATCAATAACTTTAAAGACAGTAACCCTCACTGAAATATGCCTGACTTGTATTTTGGGGTTCACATCCAAATAGGGCACCCCTTTAGTTAAATGCAAAGTGTCCCTTTTTGTAAACAATGATCAGCCTTTGAAAACATTACTTTTCTGTTGGTTCAAGTTGCAAGTACAAAATTATAAAATACACGAAAAATTACTCCATATCAGGGTTTTTTTTTGTACTGTAGATTAACAAGCATTTTTATAATTGGACAAGTATATGTACATGTAGACACCAATTCTAATTTACCTGTTGTATAATTGGAAGTTGACTTTGGTACACAGATGGTATGACTGCAGTTTGCTGGATCACAGGTGATCCTACTGGAACTTGCTGCAATGGCACAAACTGCTGCTGTGCTGGCTGCTGTGCTTGCTGCATGATGAGACTACCAGTTGACGAGATTGTCTGCTGCACCCCGCCCACCGACGTCAACCCTGTCTGCAGGATGTTACCCTGCACAATGTTACCCTGCACCAGGATCTGGCCCTGAGGGAGGATGCTCCCAGGCTGCAACGGCTGAATGAGCTTCTGCTGCAGCAGCGATAGCTGTGGCTGCTGGGGCTGCAACACCTGCTGAACATACTGGGTTGGCTGGCCCAGCTGAGCCTGCGGTTGGGGGTTCACGGCCTGCTGGGGGGCCAGTGACGGTTGGGGGGTTTCTGCTTGTGAACTGGATGGACGGTTGGCAGTGGTGTGGATGATGTTCATGGTACCGGTAGCAGTGGAGGTGGGCTGACTAAATGTAACAACATTCCCCTGTTTGGCCACCCATGCTGTTGAGCGAGCATCAGAGCTGGAAGTTGTAGCAACCTTTTGTTGAGCAGCCGTTGCTGCATCAGGTGCTTTAATGACACTCGTGGATTTCGCTCTTTCAGCAGACGGAGTGTCCTTGGGTGTCTGAGCAACGCTGGATGATGCCGGCTCTGTATGATCACTCACCACGACAACATCCTCTTCCTCACTATCATCCAAGGTGTTTGCAATGCTGAAGAAGTCAGTCAAATCTGAAGCAGCATCAATCATGCTCTCCAGAGAGGATCGGTTGGGGAGAGGCTTCTTTGCTTTTCGTTTGCTCTTAGCCATGATCTGTGTCACTGGCTTGTTAATTATCAGGCGTGGTTCATTGCTGGAAATATCTGCCCTCTGAACCACCTGTTTTAACTGTGGTGAGTCCCTGTCAGTGATAAGTATGGGTTCTGGTGTCTGTGCCACCACAGCAGGACGGACAATTTCTGTGTTTGGAGGCAGCTCACATAAATCACCTGAATCCCTGTCTGCCTCAACATTTTCTGATGATCTGTGAGTTTCATCTGGTTTTGGGGGGAAAAGCTGTTTCTGTGCACCCATGGACAGGTCTTTTGTTTTTGCCTTTAGAATGTCTTGTAACCTGTTCTTCTTAGCCTCCAGGCTGTTAGACCTATTCGGCAAGGCAGCATTTCTGATCTTTGGAGAGAGCTGAGATGCCACATCCTGCTTGGTGGCTGCTTCTGAGTTTGCCAAGACTGGGTCACCTTGCTCATCCAGTGGATGAAGAGAGAGAGGACTTTCAGGGGGTTCATGCTCAAGACTAGTGTCACTGCACTGGGTGTCTCCATCTCCAGACTGAGTTGATGTCATTGTATTTGAAGGCACATTAGGAATACCACTGCCACTGTTTTCTTCTTCGACCGCCACCTCCTCATGAGTTTCTTCCAGGTCAGAGGTCGGTCCCAGTGGAACACTCTCAGTGTTGCTCAAGAGATCCCTGTGAAGCCAGCCTCTGTCCTCACTTGGATCAGGTGAGGGCTCTTGAGTTTTGACAGCCAAAGGTGGGGCCAGAACAGGAGAAGTTGGCACAACGATTGCCACCCCGCCTGGCTCAATGATGCCTTGGGTTGCTATTATAGGAAGCTCCTCGGGTGCCGCTTTCCCATCAACTGCCAGGTTGTTCTCGGTCCCTTGGTGAGCATCTGTCTCTGTGTTGGGGGAATCACCGGAGGGCTCCGTGATGACCGAGTCCAGTGGCAGTTCCACAGACAATGGGTCTTTAATGCTTGGCACTGTAGGATCATCCATAGTGGACAAACAGTCAAGGCTTTGCTAGGTTGAGTTTGCACTGCAGCATTCCAACAGGTGTCATCATCTAAACATTGCCTCAGCACCTAAGGGTCAAAACGTACAAGGAAATTTTGAGCATTTTTCGTCAGTCTATTGTGAAGATGTTGATGTGTGAATCACAAAAAATTACAGCCAAGTTTAATCACAGCCACCAAAATGTGAAACAGTAACTAACCACAAATAAAACTAGATACAACATATCAATCTTATTTGAACAATCCACTTCCACACATATTTATAAATTACAGCAAAAGCAATACACAGCAGGGGCCAATACTTGACCTCTGGTGATGACTACAAAAAATGTGTCCCTAGGAGAAGATCAATGTATGCGGAATCTCAAAGGCCCACAGCAACAGTGAAAGCACTAGATCAGCATGTACTTATTTTGAACCATGGCTATTCAGTAATCATGTTTACAGATATGTTTATAGATAGAAATTTGCTTGTCAACAGCATGATTAACCATGTCTACTATTAACCACTTAGCAATGGGGTGCCTGGTCCCGGAGACACAGTGCGTGGTCCAAGAGGCTGGGTGCCCGAAATCAGAACTTTCTTTAAAAAAAAAGAAAGTTGCTGGTCATTTTTAGAAAAGTTTACTTGCTGTAACTAGAAAGTTTGGGCCATCAGCGAAGGTAACTCTATCATTGATGGGAAACAATGGGTTGACTGGACCGGAAAACTTGGTCTTTATTCATGGCCTGGGTGACCAAATTTGGAAACAAAAGACCGAGCTGCTGGGACTTGCGATGAAGGTTCATACACTGTCAATGCAGAGTGCTTGCCATTAGCAGAGGTAATCTGTCATTTAAATACGGCTTTTGCCCTTACCCAACATACCGCTATATTTATATTTAGATAATCCGTCATTGTTTTGAAAAAGTATGCCAGCAGATTATCAGTGTGGACAAAAGCGCACGCTCCGATACGATACCGTCGAGCACTCGTGGAATCTGGCCACATTGTGCAGCTTTCACTGTGCCAGTGTGCCTGTTGAATGGCCCCATTCACCCTTATGGCCCATGTGCTCTGCACAGCAACACCGGCCGTCCAGTGTAGCAACGTACTGGGCTGATTCCTGGAACAAAGAGGAAATTATGCGACACCACATAACAGGGGCTCTTTACTGGGCAGCATGCGTGGCTGCAATACTCACGCTTCAGTGGAGGTTGCCCGTCAGATTAGAGTTGACACAGAACAGCCATTCTTTTGGGTGTATGCATGCAGTAAATGAAGATATGAACTTTTGAAAAATTTCAAAAGCAAAAAAAAAATTAAAAAGTGCCCTGCCCAGGAGCCTGAACATTGATAATGGCCCGGCAGGAAGTGGTTAATAAGTTATTTTTTTAGCTGTTCCGGGCACCAGCAAAAACAGCTCCTTTTTCTGAAGATTTTTTTTTTTTTTGGCTTTTTTTCTCCACTTTTTCCCCATAGACATACGTGTAGCATGCCCCTTCCTTGTCGCCAATGCCCTTCGAACCTGACACATACATGTACCAGTAGCTAGACCACCATCTGAAGATGCATGCCGAATCATGACGTCATCACCTGATTTATTATAGAATTTTGGACGTGTAACTTTTCCCCATATGTTTTGTACACATTTTGAAAGCCCTTTTGAGCTAACTGGCAATCTTGCACCTTCATCTCAGTTATACAAAGCCAAGTCTAGGACACCAAAGATGTACTAGAAGAATAACGTCACGATGACGTCATCAGGTGTCAAATTACAGGTGCTGAAATATTATTTGTGTTGAATCTTCAAAATTCCACATAAAATCAACCAAGACTTCCTGCAGCTTACTTTTTGTACCAAGTGGTAGAGTAATCTTTGGTTTATTTCTTCTCATGTACCGGTACGTAAGATCGCTTGACACTTACTTCCGGTCGAAACTAGTCCAAACCAGAAATGCTTTATTATTTAAAATTGATGACAGATATGAACCTACACGTACTTCCAATGGTACAATGTATGTGTCTTTGACATAATACTATTCCTCAAAGCATGCACCAGTGACGTCATGCAACACTCAAGCACTCTCTGGCTACAGGTTGCAAACAAATCTAAAATCTATTTTGAAAAGATTTCAGTGGGGAATTTTTCCAGAATCGCTTGAAAATTGGTAGACACAATCACCTTTATGCCTGCAAAGTGTATGCACAAGGTTGGGCCAATGACGTCATCGGACCGAAAGTTATATTAAAAAGACCTTTAATTCATTGAACATTGCTACAAAATCAATCCTGACAGCTACATGTAAAGTTTGAAATTGCCCACCAAACACTTGAGTAAATATCTACATCCACTCTCCAAGGTGTTGGGCTCACTGCACTGTTCTATATGCTGCACATTACTGATGAAAAACTGCCCTCTGCCGGTATTGCTAGCAACATGACCCATAGGGGTATGTGCAGTAGCGGTAAGAGCCATATTCTTGTAATATGCATGTACAGCATATAATCGAGCCATACACACTGTTTCTTGGCCTCTGGCAAAATGCGAGCCACGAGCATTTGAGCGTGCTTCTGCAGATTCGTCACTGAGACAGGAATCAGCATGCTGTAGTAACGAGGGTATTGGTCCCAGACCCAAATTTGATTCCGGCCTGTTGTGTACCAGTAAAAGCACTGTATCATCTGAAGTGCATGAGTCCAATCGGCCAGTGCATGTACTGCGTGTGTGTTAAATATTGAACTGCGGACTTAACAACAGCTGTGTGTTCCTGCCCACTCTGACTTCTTTTTTTATCAAACAGAAAGAGTTCCCCAAAACAGCTCAGTGTTTGTCAACTGACAAACAAAACGTTCGTCTAGTTATTTCTACTCTTGCCCTTACTGGGACCACTTTTTTAATGGACAAATACCTCGCGACTAAAATTCACATGAAAATCAGGCCTTTGGCTATTAATGCCATTCGTGAATACTTTACAAAATGAAGAGAATTTTTTCTCTACTAAGAACCTGCTAAGGATTGTGTAGTATTATTAACAAAAAAAAAGAGACATTCCAAGAACCACGTAACCCACAAAAAAGCAGTCAGGTAGACAGAAGCTTTTTTTAGTCAATACAGCCTACATGTATATGCCTGGGGCAGAGTCAATTCGAATAATTCAGTAATCAAACAATCGACCTATAATTCGATCAAATATCCAAATATTCGGTTGTCCCAACCGGCAGATTATTGAGGAACAAACCATATACAAAATCAATTGTGATAATGCACACAATTGTACATTATGATCAATGTAATAGCTTCTCGTGTCTACGAATATCTCCAGCCATGATTTAATAAGATTAAGAGACAAATAATACTTCTTGCCCTGTTGAAAATTTCAATTCCTTTTTAATTGTTAAATGAATAACTCACATTTTGAATGTTTTTTTTTCATTTGAATCTGCTTGAAACAAGCCTCCAAAGTGCAATTTTTCTCATTTAAAACAAAGGAAATTCCCTGTTCCTTTTCATGAATTTTGCACTCAGATATTCAAATTTGGAAAATAATATTCAAATACTACATGTAGCTAATCGATCGAATATACTGATATTTGGATATTCAGCACAGCCCTGTATGTCCCAAACCTTCAAGTCTTACATGTACAAATTAATGCAGTATATTGGAGTCAGAAAATAAGAATCAGAAGGAAGCCATGCGTTCAGTGCACAGGTACATGTACGTGCACAGCAATTGCAAGGGCAAATGCATACATACCAGTATACATGCGGTGGAGACTTTTCCAAGGTGGAAGTTCAGGCGACCAGAAGGGGGAAAGGGGCGGAAGGGAGGCATGTTTGCTTGCTGAAACACAAGTGCAGCCCACAACCAAAGTTTTAAAATTACTAAAGGCTGCGGCACGTTCATTATTACAAAAAACTAAGAAATGCCCGGGCAGCATGTACCTGTGCATGCGCAAGAGAAAAACCCCAGACTACATATCATACATGTAGCAGAGTAAACACAAAAGGCTGATTATGCAGGAATGTTCAGTTATTCCCGTGGGCAGGAAAAAGAGTCAAGTTTTCTGGTGGAACATGTACATGTGTGCACCTGCCGACCTCAGTACAAAACATAAACCGGTATATGTACATGTACATGAGTACATGTAAATGGTCTACCACAGCAGCAATTAAGAAAAATATTGATTTCATGTCAAGTGTACAAAAAATTCTAAAACAGCTTAAGAAATTTATACATGTATGCACACATGTAGATGTATACATAGGCCCTACATACATACATGTAGCTGAATGTGTGCAACCAATAAAAACCATGGTTTGACGATCTGTTTCAAAAGAATTTTTCACATTCCTTCGAAACTCTAACTCCCAATTACATGTCTTCATATCCTCATGGTGCGACTGCTTCAAGATAGTGATTATATCACAACAAACAGTACAGACCCGGCCCAACTATCTGAACCATCCCCTGAGAGTACTAACAACTTAATACTATCAATGTACACATACTTGCACAGGCTGTAGTATACCGGTACAACGATCCAACATTTATGAGTATAAGGTAAGAATACATGTAGTTTCTTGAGGTGACAGATAGAATGTACCAATCCGGTGTCATCAAATGAAATTATTCAAAGTTTCGTTTCCATTACAAGTATTTGTTTCATACGATGACTGAAAAAATCACAATTAAATCCCTGCATCAACCGACTACCGTAGATCCCAACAGTCGCGACACCTATGAATTACAACATTTTGTCATAACCAATCCAGTGGAACTTCCATTTACAAGTAAAATCTCTTCTCTTTGTGTTGCCATGCTATACGTTGGGGCAAATACATGTAATTGACTGGCACATGATCAACCATCCATCAATCAGACGGTAGGGATATAATCACGTTATATAATAAGTGCCAGTGCCGTATCTGGTTCTTAATTCACCATTTTAAATTTTGTGCACGGTCACGTGCAGAACAAAGGCAGAGCGCTGAAACTCTTCTGACAATCTACAGAACACACAGTATGTTTCTGTCCCTTTCTCCCGAATCACTGCACATCCCCCTCCCTAACCCTGTCCATGGCTA